GTCCAAGGCTCATTAATGCTCAAGGGGAGCGAAAGCTTAACCACCTGGTTTAAGCAGACTTAAAAGCTACTGTAGCTCATATTGCTGAAACACTTAAAGCTGTCCATGATAGACAGGTGTCAGAACATTGCAGGTTGCTGTGTTTGGAGCTGCTCCTCCACAGACTGGTCAGAGTGCCCATGATAACCCCCGTCTCGCTCAAAAAGTGCCTTCAGAATTGGACCATGGAGCAATTGAAGAAGATTGCCTGGTCTGATGAATCATGTTTTCTTTTAGTTTAGGTGGATGGCTGGCTAGATGTGCATCATTTACCTGGGGAAGAGATGGCAGCAGAATGCACTATGGGAAGAAAGCAGGCCAGCGGAGGCAGTGTTATGTTCTGGGCAATGTTCTGGGTCCTTGGGTCCTGTCATTCATGTGGATGTTACTTTGACACATACCACCTACTTTGAGATTGTTGCAGACTACGTACACCCCTTCATGTCAATGGTGTTCCTTGATGGCAGTGGCCTCTTTCAGCAAGACACTGCAAAAACAGTTCAGGAATGGTATGATGAACATGACCAATTCCCCAGATCTCTGATTGAGCATCTCTGAGAAGTACTTGAGCCCACCTGGCAAATTTCAGGATTTAAAGGATCTGCTGCTGAAGTCTTGGTGGCAAATACTAGAGGACACATTCAGAGGTCTTGTGGAGTCCATGCCTCGATGCATCAGAGCAGTTTTGGCAGCATGAGAGGGACCTTCATGGTATTAGGCAGGTGGCTTTAATGTTGTGGCTGATCAGTTTATATGCAACCACTTGCACTTGCTGGTCCACGGTAAAAAAAAAAAAAAGAGTAGGGAAGCGGCAGTAGATATGACAAGAAGCAGAGAAGGGCTGGCAATATTTGGCTTGGGGGCAAGTACAAATAATTTAGCTTTTTTTTTCTTTCAAAGAACTTAGATCTCAATGTAGATGGTCCTACTCACATGGAGCGTGTGATATGACAGAGTTTAGCTGCTGGAGTGGCATGGTGTAACATTATATATTTCTGCCACCTCCATCTGTATGACCTGTACAGTGTAATAAAAATACACATTCTGTTTCCCATGACTTCACTGCCACACATACCAATTGGTGAGTGTTATAAATGTCATTAGTACAGGAGTGGAAGACAAGGGGACAGAAGTTTTAGCTGGCTAGGGTGGCGTAAGAGGGTATGGGACAGAAGATATGGCTGGCTGGGGTGGCCTAGGGACTTAGAATACAGCAGATATGGCCAGCTCGAGTAGGAGAGAAGGGGAGGGTACAGGAGATGTTGCCTGTTGGAGTGGGAGAGGTCATCGGGACAGGATACATGTCTGACGAGAGAAAAAGCAAAGGTCATCAGTGTGAATGGGACATTACAATTTATTTAGTTAATGTACAGATATAATTAGCTACTTCAAAATCTTCAGTTCAATGTCCTCAGGGGCCTTAATTCAGCACTGGATCTATGTAACTTAATATATCTAATGGATATAGTGGAGAAAAGACCCAGAATAAAATATTATCCAAAATAAAAAAGTAGTGATCACTCAGAGAACTGCAGCCATGTGAAATTGTGTATTTAAAGGAGCACTATAGTGCCAGGAAAACAAACTAGTTTTTCTGACACTATAGGGTTATTAGGTCCCCCCCGCCCCCTCAGGGTCCCCCTCCAGCTAGACTGAAGTGGTTAAAACCCCTTCAACCACTTACCTTAATCCAGCGCTGGGCTCCGAATGCACATGCGCGGCCAGAGCCGCGTGCGCATTCAAACTGCCCATAGGAAAGCATTACTCAATGCTTTCCTATGGACCTCAGTGTAATCAGTGTGATTTTCACAGTGAGAATCGTGGAAGCGGCCTCTAGTGGCTGTCAGGTAGAGGCTGGATTAACCCTCAATGAAAACATATCAGTTTCTCTGATACTGCTATGTTTTCAGCTGCAGGGTTAAAACCAGGGGGACCTGGCAACCAGATCACTTCATTGAGCTGAAGTGGTCTGGGTGCCTATGCTGTCCCTTTAACTGAATATATTGAGTTGAATTTGTAAATACAATCTCACAACACTGCAAAGAGTCAATTGCACTCCAAGCTAGAAGTAGAGGTGAACATGGAGATTGTGGCGAAACCAACCTCGCCACTGGGCATTGAAGAACCCTGTTTTCCCGCCTCCTGCCTGCTGACTATGGCTCTGGGATGTATTGCCCTTTAAAGACATGATTTGGGCATAATGGATTTGTGTTGTGCTGCTGCTGGCCCTTTAAGAACCATCTGGGGACATACTGTGGAGTTACTGGGTGGCCACCATTTCATGTATCAGAGGCGCATGGTGAGAACAATGGATGAAGCACGTGGTGAGAACAATGGATGGCGGCCATTTTAACTCACAGACACTGTTTGGACTTTTCTACACGGTGCCAATCTCGCCAGTATTTGGTGCACGAAGACATCGTTCAGTAGTTTTAAACTATACAACAGGGGACACATTATACAGTAATTATTTTGCATATAGCCTGTATATGTTCTGCGGAATCTGCATTAAACTGCATCTTTCAAACTACTGAACGGATCTGGGTGAATTTTGGATATGTGGTTCACCCAGATCCCCCGGTTCCGAGGATATACTTTTTATGGGGTTATTGCATGTTTTGGGGTCCCTGTGATGTGTTTTATGATACTGTATTTCTCTGCCTGTGATAATTAGATTAACCATTGTGTTCAGTAATCATATCACAGGCAGAGGGGAGGATTTTGTGTGGGAGTGTCTGTGTGTATTGTACAGATTGATTGGTTGTTCTGTAAAACCCTGTGGGCAGTACTAAGTTTGTGGATTGGGAATAAAAGAGGCTGTATGTGCCAGTACAGTCAGTTCTGCTTGACCTCAAAACAAAGTGTCGTCTCGTTATTGGGGGAATTGGATTGTATGCCGATTGCCAGGAGTGTAAGCTGATTGTATGCTTTTCCTGTTCAGTTGCTTACAGGATTCATATGCTTGAGAGCATTCGTATGCTTCTCCGGTTCGGTGGTTGTGGTGTCTGCTGCAGTGCTTGGAGTTCTCAGGAATCGCTAGGAGCATCCTTCAACGGAGGTACCCAGTCGGGGTGCCAAGTGATCCATTACAGAGATCTTCTCAGAAAACCATGAAAATGAGATGTTAAAAGTTTCGGTGCCTTTAATAGTCTCTGGGTATCACCCCTCCGTGATTTGTCAAACCATATGAGTTCAGTTTGACAAATATCAGGACTCTCTGTATCCTCCAGAGACAGACTCCACTTTATTGATCACTGATCATTGATAACACCAAAAATATATTTTCATGTTATTTAAGCCAATTTTGCCCAACTCCGAGAGAAGTGATTTCATGGGAGTGCTGGGGGGGGGGTGGGGATGTTTAAGGAATGTTTAACCATGTATTTGTTTTACAGAGATAAAGAGTCAATCCGTAACACAGGTTCAGTAGCACAGCTTTTGTTTAAATTAAGTGAATCTTGGCATTCCATGTGCATATTATGCTACAACTGACTTGTTCATTTTTCCTTCAATGTAAATACACTCCTCTCCCTGCAAAAAGCCTGAAGGGAATGTTTATATTTACCAGAAAAATACAATAAGCTGTAGTTGTTCTGGTGACTTGAGTGTCCTTTTAAAGGTCAAGAATTCGTATTGCTTCAGAAAACATACAACTTTACAGGCAAGCAATCCTCAGTCCCATGGCTTTTTAAAAAATAATTTCCCTTAAGCAATATGATTTTATTTTGCATGGTGATTTTTACCTTTTAGAAACTTTTTGTTTTATACCACATCTCCATAGACGTCCATGACGCTCCAATCAGCTGTAGGATAAACTTTGTGGCTGCATTCTAGAACCCTGTGTGGGGTAAAGGAGTGAGAAAAGGTTCTGAGTACACTAAAGGTATTCCTTGCACAGAAATACAATCATGTTCCTTATCAAAAACATTAACAGATTACGGTATTTTAAAATGTTTGTCTATTTTTGTCATACCAACTATATGTGACAAAATTCTACTTCTGTCTCTCTGCAAAAATGTAACACTCTGTGTTAGCCGTCGATTAGAAAAAAAAAAAAAGATTTACATATACAAACTATTCCTCTACACAGTTTGTTTGAATAATTATCTACAAATTTCTGTTAAAAAAAAGGCAAAAAAACTGCTTTAATCTCATTCCATATTATCTGATATAAGGCTGGCACCAGACTTCAAGACCGTACAGTTGAATGTTTCATAATAATATGGTCTTTTTATATATGAATTTCCTTTAAGGTAATATATTTGATTTAATCTCCCTTCCCAAAATACAGGCCAATATTACAAAGGAAACAAGTAAATTCTCCAGCAGATACCGTTTTTATGTTTTCTAAAGAAAGAAAGGAAGGAAGTAATGCGAGTCACTGAGTGCAATATTGTATAAAAATCGATCACTGCAGAGCCGACATAACTCAAATGTTACTTTTCAGAAGATTCAGTCAGTGCACCATATATTGCTATTTAAAGTACCACGCCAAACACTATACCCACTGCAGAGTGCTAAAGTGGCTATGGTACCAGGAGTGCCCTAATGCCTCAGAAACCATTTTAGAATGGTTTGACTTCTTACCTGATTCCTGTATTTCTTCTTCCTGTCTTCTAAGCCGTCAGCTAATCACGAGGCTCTTAAACCATAATGGGAAAGGTAGGACACAGACCCCAGGTATAACATCAAGTAATTCTAGTATTTGAAGAAAAACTTATGATATTAAATAATAAGAAGAAGAATCAATGCCTAAATGTATCTCTTTGTTCTTTCTTGCTTTTTTAATAGCTACCTCCAGCGGTGTATTTTGGATTCGTGCTGCCCTAGGCACGACTGAATTCGGACACCCCCAAAATCTAAGTTTGCCCCCCCAATTCGTGTCAAGGCCACTTTTTTGACTGACAAACACATGCCCTCATTGATACATGCACTGATATACACTCACTAACAGATACACAGTCATTGGCACACACATACAGTCATTGGCACACCCTGTTTAACCAATACACACTTTCACTGACAGACACACACTGACAGGCACAAACTCTCAGGTACACATAAAATGACATACACACACTGACACACACTCACAGGCACACCCATTCTCACTGAAAGACATACACTTTCACTCACTCACAGACACACACTGACAGCTACAATCACTCACTCACTCACAGTAAGGTGGACAGCCCCAGAACATGAGGCAAACAAGGCATTTGTCTGGGAGCTTGAGGTGGCGTTTATTGGCGCCCCCCCTGAAAGTGCCACCCTAGGCAAATGCCTTGTTTGCCTTGTGGTAAATACATCCCTGGCTACCTCTCATGTACAACTTTTGTTCTTTTTAAAGAAAATTGCATTTTATCTATGAATTGTGCTAACAGATTTGCAATCATATGTACAGATTGAGAGAAAAACCTATTTTTAAAATTCTATGCCAAAGAGTTGACTGACAAGGGAGAACATAAGACTCCTCCCACAGGTGGTCCTTCTGCTCTCCACACTTTGTAACCACAGCGCATGCACATTAGAAACAGTGACTGATGTAATTTCATTTAGATTCCGGCATTCTGACAATGAAGGAGGCGGGTTGACATCACAGAGGAGGTTTGTACTGCTTAGAAATATCCCCCAAGTAAGATAAATCAATGAAGACTGCAGGAGGGGGGAGAGTGGAACGGAGGTACGAGTAACATCTATCTCTGTAAAGACATGGTGCCACTTGAGCAGAGAGTAAAGTAAGTCCTTGACAAATTCCCTCTAAATATTTGTCACTTACCTCTTTATTACCAAGCACTTAATGTTAGCAAAAATATTACCATAACATTTAAAAAAAAAAAACCATGAGGCCCATAGCTCACACAAATAATTATATTATATAGACCATGTTTCTGAAAAACATAAAAATTAAAATTATGCAAAATTATAGAATTTGTAACATTCATTTAGTTGTTAGTCCTTTGTAAAAGTATTGAAAAGCTATAGACATTATACAGTGCCTCTTATCTGTCAATATTTTACAGAGTCCCTGTGCAAGTGAAAATCTAATAAGAAGTGGAAATTGATACTAAAAATAAAGAGTAACAAAGTTTATTTGTATTAAAACCTCAAAAAACATAAGAGAAAACTTTATAAGGCTTCAGTGTACATATTACCAAAGATATGCTAATGCAAAAAAAATATCTCCGGTGTTGACACCCACTATACCTGGAGTCAAAGGTATAGCACATTGATGAAAGGACACGATTTTACCTTACATGTCCTTTGATTGGATTAGAGGCTTCAGTTGTTTGGGAAAATCTTCAGTAATCTAGTTAGAACTATATATCATGTGATATGGCAAGAGTGGCTCATATGGAATGTTTGTATTTTACATCCATATGTAGAAAGGAATAAACCACATCATTTAAAAATATCAATTAAGACTGGAAGCAAAATCAGGGGTTGAGATAATTCCAGTAATACATTATCTGTAAAAAGGTTCAATTTAACCTTAAGGTTATCAACTTGTATACCATGCATACTGTATGTAACTTAATCTGTTGTGCCAGAGGCCACTTTTCATTGGAAATGGAGAACTTTCAAAAGAGAATCCACTAACTAAACCAGAACACAGAGGTGCAAAACAAATATGGAGTAAACCACGTTGGTAGGAAAGCCAAACTGAATAAGGGTTTTCCTTTAAAAACTGTCAATTCAAATGGTTTTTCAGTATCAAAGGAAAAGAGGAGGCCACTTGAATGTGTCTTCTGGAGGTCACGTAAGATACACAGAAGGTGGAAACCCTAGGGCTTATTGGCCTTGCCCCGTACTGCAAGAAAACAGATTTATCAGCTATGTTGAAGCCCTTAGGTTTTGCTGCTGTGGACATAGCATCTTGAAGCCCATGTGACTGACTTGCCATGTTTATTTGAGCTTGACACAGAGTGATGATGTTTATGGGTTCTAAGTGTGATACGTTTGAATTTTATCACATGACAGGAGGCTTCGTATTTTGCATAATCTTTCTTTACTATCTCCATAGCAGCAAAGAAATGAGTGACAAAACTTTTAACCAATCACAACGTAGAATAGGGTATAAGAGGTGAGACCTATGACATCATTTCCTCTTTCTTTGCTGCTCCATCACAAGTTAAGTACCAAATTTTGTATTATCTATTCTACATACACTTTTCATTTACATGCCTTTTGTTTTCACTGTACCTTTATATATTTACCCTATTAATGCTCTTAACCCCTGTATACCAGGGGACCCTGTCTGGCTCCCTAACTGTCTTTCACGGCTTTCCCGCCGTCTGTACTTTCCCTCCATTTTCTCTGTTTCTCTTTAACAGTTTTCTGTTCTTTTTACCGAACGCGTTATTCGGTAGTTTTGCGCATTCGCCTGTTTTACTCGAATGCCCGCGCGACCGCACATTGACTATTCGTTTCTAACTACCGAACGCTTCGTTCGGCAGTTTGACGCGATCGCCTTTTTAAACGTTCGCATCTATTTCTATTCGCACGTTCGGCAGTTCGCATAGATCTTCTATTCACGTTCGGCAGTTTTATGCGAATGGCAAGCTTACAGTTTGCCGCCCAAACTGGGGGAGGTACTATTCTCCACACACTGAGCCTGTCAGTCCGGCGGCCATCTTAAAGAGATAGACACTGCCTGATTTTTCTGCTCCTGCTATTCCAACAAGCAATTGAAAAGCCTTACCCTTTTTCACTCAGTGGGACCAGGTTAGTGCCTTACACTTGGGGTTGGTTTAGCCAGTTGGTCTGCACCTTATTCTGGCCGGGGTGAGCCCCCACTTTATGCTGCTAAACGGTCCTGTTTATGCAGGTTCCGATCACCTGGGTGAGCCCCAGTGAATCAGCCCTCTCCTCTACGACCTACCGGTCTCTAACCACAGGTTATTTAGTCCTGATACCATACCACCCCGGTCCCAGGCCTCTCCATTAATCGTGCCTAGTGCCCTCACGCAATTTACCGGGTGAGCCCCGAATCCTCACTCCTCATAATGGAGGAATCACAAACCCCAGACCTCCAGGCCATGATAACAGCAGCCGTGGCTGCAGCCATGGAACAAGCCGCTTCCAAGTCGCTCCAAACAAACCCTGAGGTTCCCAGGCCCACCTCTAAACGGGTTCATTACAAGGCGGACTCCGAAGACTCTGACTCTTCCAGGGAACACTCCCAACGGTGAAAACGCCATTGGAAGGGCAATGTAACCCTACGCAAGGCTAAAGGGAAAGCCCCTGCTGATCGCAGGAAAGCCACGGTTCGTGCTACCCACGATGCCACACAACTTTCCTCAGGTGAGGAAGATGTAGAACCCACTCAGGCACTGGCTGTGCTGGATGAATGGCAGGCGGCAGCCTCTGACCAGGGGGACTCCGACAGGGATTCCACGGCCAACTCTGACCCTTACTTCATAAGGGAACAGGGTCTGGGTGAGCCCCAGGACTCCATGGCAACATCCATTGATAACCCACAGGAGGGCTCGGAGATTTTCCTCGACAATTCGGGCCTCCAAATGTTCGACCCAAGAAACATCCGGCACCCCCGTTCGGAAGAATGGTCACCACCTGAGCATTTGGCAAGGTTTATGCACTTCTGGCTCAGAAAACCGCTAGACAAGGAAGTAAGAAACCGGATGAGATCCGAATGCCCTCGCCCTAGTCTACCGGACAAAGTGACGCACACCCCCGAGTTTGACCCGCTCATGACTACGTTCATGTCCCGAGGGGGTCGGGATCCGCGCAAGGGCATAGAGCGCGGCTTTAAAGGAGCGCAAGATAAGCTGCTAGATGCCATTGGGCCACTAGCCAGAATCATGGATATGGCGGATGAAGCCTATGAGAGGGCTGACACTTTTACCCCAGATACGGTGCGTGAATGGGCACGAGATACCCGTGAATGGGCACAAAGGTGTTTCTGTTTCTTAGGGAACACCAACGTAGCCCTCTCTTCGGAGAGGCGCCGAGCAGCACTTTACCGTATCGACGAAAAACTGGTCGAACTGGGGGATAAGGAATTAGGACCCTTAGCACAGGGTAAATTATTTGGAGAGGCCTTCCTTAAGGAATTAAATAAAAGGGTCAACATATTCACGTCCCTTAACAAGGCACAATCTTCAATGCGGAAAGTCTTCCGCGGTTCCCACACCCGTGGTGTTTTTGGAAGGGCTGGACGGCAGAGGGGCCGTGCCGCCAGCCGTTTTTGGCCATCCGGCCCCCGTACAACAAGGACTCAGATGTTCTACCCAGACTCATCTAGTCGAAATAGATTCGGCCACTTCAGGGGATCTGATCGTGGCCGAGGCACCCGAGGACGCTCACGAGCAAGATTCTCCAACGGTAAGTCGGAATCTTACTCTTCCTCTAACCCCCTGTCATATCGCAGGTCGTGTTTCTCTTTTTTTCCAGAACTGGAAAGAACTATCTTCAGATGCGTGGATAATCCAAACGGTGCAGGGCTATCGAATAGAGTTCGACTCGACCCCGCTCCAGCTGACCCCTCCACGTCCAATCCAGACTACACGAGCAGATGCCCGCCTCATAGACGCGGAACTCCGAGAACTCCGCTCCAAGGGTGCCATTCAACCGGCTCCGGATGCCACCGGTTTCTACAGCAATATCTTCCTGGTCAGGAAGAAAACAGGCGAATTTCGCCCCGTTATCAATCTCAGGGAGCTCAATTCGCACGTAGTATATCGACACTTCAAAATGGAAGGTATACATCTTCTCCGGGACTTGCTTCGACGCGACGACTGGTTCACTCGTCTGGACCTCAAAGATGCGTACCTTACCATTCCGGTACACAGAAGCAGCCGTCCCTACCTCCGCTTCTTCTGGCACGGGATCCCTTGGCAGTTCACCTGTCTCCCGTTTGGCCTCAGCTCGGCCCCGTGGTGTTTTACCAAGATTATGAAGCCGGTAGTGGCAAAAATCAGATCCCAAGGTATAAGATGCATCATCTACCTCGACGATATCCTGATCTTCGACGAGGATGCAGACACTCTGCGGAGACATACGGCATACGCACTACACCTTTTGGACTCTCTGGGTTTCGTCGTCAACCGTCCCAAGTCCGCATTGACCCCGGCTCAATCAGTTCAATTCCTCGGATTCGTAATAGACTCCACATCATGCACTCTTCACCTCCCGGCTACCAAAATTACGGCAATCCGCAGGGAGATCCGGAAAGTCCTTCGTCGGACTACCATACCCCTACGATTACTGGCACGGATCGTAGGCCTTCTCTCCGCGTCCATCCAGGCCATTTTTCCCGGGCCCCTGCACTACAGGGCCATGCAACGCCTCAAGGCAAGTTTCCTTCGCAGACAACCGACATACGACCAACCGGTTCCAATGTCGGTCGAAGTTCGGGAAGAACTACACTGGTGGCTGAATTGCATGCAGGCTTGGAATGGCAGGGCCATATTCGGGAACCAGCCAGACTTCGTGCTGGAATCGGATGCCAGCCGTTCAGGCTGGGGGGCAACAGACGGAACCACGTCCACAGGAGGAGTCTGGACTTCCGAAGAGCTCTCGATGCACATAAATTGCCTGGAACTCTTGGCCGGGTCCTTCGCCATTCGCAGCCTGGCAAAGGACCGATCCAACTGCTGCATCCTACTCCGCATGGACAACGTCTCAGCGGTCAGATACATCAACCGCCTTGGAGGCACTCGTTCTCGAACACTGGCGGATCTCACGAAAGAGATCTTCGACTACTGCCTACCACGCAACATCACCTTGCTGGCAGAGCACTTACCAGGAGACTCCAATACGACGGCGGATTGGTACTCACGCCACTGGCGGGACGCCAGCGATTGGCAGCTAGACCCTCACATTTTCGCACTACTGGATGCACAGAGGGGACCTCTCTACCTAGACCTTTTCGCGTCCCGCAACAATCGACAGACAGAAGTTTTCTTCAGCTGGCTCCCAGACCCGGAGAGCCTCGCAACGGACGCTTTTCTCCAACAATGGCCAAGGGACGGCGCCTACGCATTCCCTCCTTTCGCAATGATAACGAGGGTCCTTCACCGGATCCGTCTACAGGGAGTGAGAATAATTCTCATCACGCCGCTCTGGCAGAGCCAGCCATGGTTTCCGGACCTTCTGGAACTCTCTATCAACGACCCCCTCCTCCTACCAGATGCCCCAACCATCCTCAGGAATCCATTGGGCCTTCCTCACCCACTAGTCCTGCAGGAACGCTTGCCCCTTGTGGCCTGGACTCTTTCCGGGGTTCCTGGAGAACCGAAGAATTATCGCAGGAAACTAAGGACCTGCTATGGGATTCATGGGCACCAGGAACTAGGAGGTGCTACTTATCAGCATGGCACTCCTGGACAAGTTGGTGTGTGGGACGGGACCTCAATCCCTTTACTGCACCTACTCACTCCATCATGAATTTCTTAACTTCACTTTTCACCGCAGGAAAGTCATACCGTTCCATCAATGTGGTACGGTCAGCCATCTCAGCGGCTCATACTCCGATACAGGGGATTCCTGTTGGTAAGGACCCGCTCATCTGCAGACTTCTCCGCGGTATGCGCCTACGGCGCCCCCCGGAACCTAAATATTCTAGTCTCTGGGACGTTGGCGTGGTCCTTCAATTTTTACGTAATTGGCCTCCCAACGAGAAACTATCACTCCGCCAGCTTACCGCAAAATTCACCCTCCTGCTCTGTCTGGTTTCCTTTCGACGGGTAGCGGATGTACGCGCCTTTGATGCCAACGCGTTTACTTTCTGTCCGGCGGGTGTCACCTTTCAGATCTCACGTCGCACTAAGTCCAACTCTCTCTCGGTCTTCTACCCTTTCTTCCCTTCTGACCCTCAACTCTGCGTGGTCTCAACCCTCCGTCACTACGTGGAAGCCACCGCGACGTTGCGGCAACCTTCCACTCATCAACTTCTCATCTCTTACGTCCGCCCTTATGGTCCGGTTCGGTTACTACACTGGCCAGATGGGTTAGGTGGCTACTATCCCTTGCCGGTATTGACCAAACTTTTGGAGCACACTCCGTTCGTGGGGCAGCGGCCTCTTCCGCTTATGCGGCAGGCGCGTCCCTCTCGGACATTTTACGAGCAGCGGACTGGACCAGAGAATCTACCTTTAGGACATTCTACTTTCGTCCTCTTGATAATCCGGCATTTGCTTTTCTTTCTCAGCGTTGAAATTGCAAAATACGAAGCCTCCTGTCATGTGATAAAATTGAAGATTATGCTAGCTTTAGTGTACAGATAATCTTAATTTTAATAATGACAGGAGGCGAGTATTTTCCCTCCCTGTTCTCTTTCGTTCTTCCCTCCCTTTTATTTTCACTTCTAGCTACTACACTTTGCTCTCTCATATGTTGGTATAATACCTGACACGATAGCTCTTGTTTAACTGTCTTATTTACATCTTAGAGATATATATATATATTGTTTGGGTGGGATACTTATTTAACACCGCTAGGGAGGACGTTTAGTTTATTTTATTCTCATGTTACTAGACGATATTAAACTTGAATTACGGGACAGACATCCTTTGTTTTATACAATCACTTCTGGACTCTAACGCACCTTATACTCTCGTTTCAGCTTAACCAGGAGCTACACGGAATCATTAAAGTCTCCATGCAAGATGTCGTCATCATCGCATCAGGAGATTCATCATCAGGTCTTCGTAGACCATCGTTTGACAAGGACACGTCTTCATCTGCATTCTACCTGTTCCGGTTCAGTTTATTCTGATTAAGTTTCCAGTTTCTTGTTCTATGGACTTCTCAGCTGTTCGGTTATTTTTTCTCCTTTTATGGTCTTGTGATGTCGCAAGTTTAAAAGAGGAAATGATGTCATAGGTCTCACCTCTTATACCCTATTCTACGTTGTGATTGGTTAAAAGTTTTGTCACTCATTTCTTTGCTGCTATGGAGATAGTAAAGAAAGATTATGCAAAATACTCGCCTCCTGTCATTATTAAAATTAAGATTATCTGTACACTAAAGCTAGCATAATCTTCAATTTGCAACCCAGTACTTGACATGTGAAAAATGTTCTGTATCGAAATATAACATCTTTCTTAAAAATGGTGGTATGTTAATACCAGCATAGCGTCATTATCATTTTAAAGGATGCTTCTTGGCACTAGAATTAGCAGCTTAGTGTTTGAGTGAAATTATGGTGGGGCTTAGGGTTTTTTCAAGACAGCATGTATTGTCACTTCCATCATTCTCAGGATACTGAAAGTGATAGGAGTTACAGTATACAGCATCTAAAAAAATAGATACTCCCTAAGTAAAGTAATACGTCCTGATATTATTTTTAAACCTTTGCCCCTCTAATTTAAGACTATGTCCTTTAGGTTAGCCATTCTGCGGCCTGTTGGAAGCATTGCGCTAAATCTTCTGAAAAAAAACTCTGAAAACAAGTTTGGAATTAGCTCTAATGGATAACAGAAAACCTTTATAGTAAACAAAGTATGATGTTTATTTACATATTCACTTTTAGATAGGTTTACATTCACCAGTTTGAGTTGGGTCATCCAAAGATTAATCTGGAGAAAACTTCAATTACATGTACAACAAAGATATATTTAAGCTGAAGATCCCTTCTTCCACCTCCAAGATGGCGTCCGGAATTGAATGGGGCAGTTGTGTGTAAACATTTTCTGCAAGTTGTAGATCCCATTTCTCCATGCACAGTTTCCTGTAGATGTCACATAAACAGTAAAGAATGTAAAAAAAATCTATAACAGGAATTAGATTCAATGTGTTTTCCAGTACTTTGGCAAGCACAATACATAAAAGGCATCCTGTATTCTCTAGATATTCTTTATGTGGTGGCACCAAGTTATTTTGTGCTCTCTAAAGTCCACAATTTCTGTATAGGTACGTTGCACCAAATATATGTCATTTGAAGTGTAAAAATTGCCAGATTGGTGGTAGAGTTGAGCGGACACCTGGATGTTCGGGTCCGGCGGGTTCGGCCGAACTTTGAAAAAAAGTCCGGGTTCGGGCTCGAACTTGACCCTGAACTTGACCCCGAACCCGAACCCCATTTTAGTCAATGGGGACCCGAACTTTTGGGCACAAAAATGGCTCTAAAAAACTCCTGGAAAGGGCTAGAGGGCTGCAAAAGGAAGTAAAATGGGGGTAAGAGTAGGACGAGTGCCCTGCAAACAAATGTGGATAGGGAAATAACTTAAAATAACATAAAATAAGCAGCCGCTTAGTAGATAGCTCCCTAATTCCCACGGTATTAGGGAGCTATCTACCAAAAGGCTGAAAGACCTAAATTGGTCACCTAAATTGGTCTTTCAGCCACATTTACTAATACTAAGTAAATGTATACATATAATATGATGTCTCTTACGTTTCCGTTTCTCCCATCCCTTATATTTCAACTAAATTGCCTACATGTGTTACCTATACAACGCAATATCATAGCAAAACTAAATGTAACAAACTTCACTCTTTTCTGTATCATGATAGTCTATATGTCACAATATAGACCCGATCAATGTGGTTGATTCGCTCCTCTTCCGAGGTTGCGCATGTTTAATTCACTGTTCGACCACGCGGCCTGTCTTCCCAAAGAAATATGGATGCTGCCTGTCCGAATGGCTTGTCCTTATATGATGAAAATTTGCAAAACGTTCCTTCTGTTTCGGAAGTGTCCATATCACCTAGGCGACCTTGTTCTCATACTTTTGGAGTCGCAGAGGTAACGTGCACCAATCAGAACCTGTGTAAACATATATATACCTTGTTTAGGCCCTTATTCAGTGTCCCATCGTGGGTTGCTACCATGGTGCCCAATTAGTACTTTCAGTGAGTATTTTTGGCATTGACCAGGGCTAGTTTTTTTATACTTGATTTCCTCTGGAATCTTGACTTGGCTTGTTAATTGTTTTTCCATTTTCCTATAATTCTGACCTTGGCTTTGCCCGATTTTACATTGGCCGGCCACGCTAGGGACTGGTAATACATAAAGTATTGTCTCTCCTCTTTTGGTTTCCCATATTTTATGAGTGTGGGTATACTTTTTGTGACACAATGCTCTTGTAAGCTGGTCTTCGCTGAAGAAAACCTCACTGGTCATCTATGTATGCATGTGTGTTAAACCAAAAACTATATTTAGGCTGACTTAATGTGATTAACTAAACCTTTTGCTAATTTTACAGATAAAGTAAATTGGGATCACAGTGAGCTGAGGCTACATTTATGAGAACCTAAACGGGAATCTCCCAAACCAAAAGCCACGGTACGGGAAGTGAAGCTGTCATGGTCACCAAAAGAGACACTCTACATTAATAGGACTCTACAGCAACTTTGTTATTTTATGTTACACATTTTCCTAGAGTAGCCAACTGTTTCTTTGTTTCTTTCTTTCTATAAAGTGAAGTAGTTTTTGTTAGCTTTTGGCTACAATGTGCATAGAAATTTAAATAAAACAAGTCCTGCGCTCAAACGCCCATCACTCCTGGGCAGCAGCAACGACCATAGTACACATCAGCCCCAATACATACAGTAAAAACCAAAGAAAACAGTTACCTGCGCTCTTCCCAAATCCCAATGCAAATCTAAACAAATAGAGGTTATTTAGTTTCTCCAAGGCCATGAGATACTTTAGCCCACCTGCCACGTCAAGGCAAACCTCTCAGGTTGGTCCTACACTAACCTTTCATCTTGCTTCCTTGAGCTATTGGCAAAGATATCTCTAATGAGACAGAGAGGGGTATTTTGTTTCTATCCACCCCTACATGCTTATTAACCCTTAATAAGGAACACATGGGATGGGCGGCAGCATTGTGACATAGCTGTGTGATACAAAAGTGAATACAAATACAAAAAAAGGACCCACCTGAGAGGTTTGCCTTGACGTGGCAGTGCTAAAGTCTCTCATGATCATTGGAGAAACTAAATTCAAGAAACAGGGAGATTTATAATTAATTCTCAGCTCCCTTGCGCACCTCAGAGTGAGGCTGGGAGCCGGAAGATGACTCCCAGCCTCACTCTGAGGTGCGCAAGGGAGCTGAGCAGTCAGCTCAGAGGAAGAGCTCCCTCGTCAGCCGCCCGCACAGCAGCCAGCGCTGCCCAGCCTGACAGGCAGCCACTAGACCACCAGGGAGAGAGAGACCCCCTCCCCCAGCACTCCCAAAGGTAAGGAGGTTGGGGGGGGGATTTAAATAAAAAAAAAAGTTAATGTGTGTGTGTGTTTGTGTCTGACTGTGTGTGTGTGTGTGTGTGTGTGTGTATGTGTCTGACTGTGTGTGTGTGTATGTGTCTGACTGTGTGTGTGTGTTTGTGTCTGACTGTGTGTGTTTGTGTCTGACTGTGTGTGTGTGTTTGTGTCTGACTGTGTGTGTGTGTGTGTGTTTGTGTCTGACTGTGTGTGTGTGTGTGTTTGTGTCTGACTGTGTGTTTGTGTCTGACTGTGTGTGTTTGTGTCTGACTGTGTTTGTGTCTGACTGTGTGTGTGTGTGTTTGTGAGTGTGTGTGTGTTTGTGTCTGACTGTGTGTGTGTGTGTGTGTGTGTATGTGTCTGACTGTGTGTGTGTGTGTCTGACTGTGTGTGTGTGTGTGTCTGACTGTGTGTGTGTGTGTCTGACTGTGTGTGTGTATTTAGAAGGTGGGGCGGGAGGAAGGGTTGGGTGGGGGCGCCTGAGTTTTGTCCTGCCTAGGGCAGCACAAAACCAGGATACACCACTGCTGATAGGACAGAGCTGATGCTTTAAATCCACGGTAAAATTTAACTTTACATGGAATTCTGAATTTATCACACATATTGAAATATGTACCAATATATGTTCTAAATTTTAAAAGACTTTTAAAGGTTATCAAGCTCATGATAGCTCCCCACACCTCCTGTAACCCAAACTACCTGAGCATCACGCTCACTAATCCTCTTATAACACACACTACTTAAGCATCACGCTCACTAATCCTCCTATAACACACACTACCTAAACAATGCACTCCTTACTCCTCCTATAACACACACTACCTGAGCATTACATTCACTACTCCTCCTATAACACATACTACCTGAGCAGCATGCTCACTAATCCTCCTGTAACACACACTACCTAAACAATACACTCCCTACTCCTCCTATAACACACACTACCTGAGCATTACATTCACTACTCCTCCTATAATACACACTACCTGAGCAGCATGCTCACTAATCCTCCTATAACACACACTACCTAAGCATAACGCTCACTAATCCTCCTATAACACACACTACCTGAGCATTACATTCACTACTCCTCCTATAACACACACTACCTGAGCATTACATTCACTACTCCTCCTATAACACACACTACCTGAGCAGCATGCTCACTAATCCTCCTATAACATACACTACCTAAACAATACACTCCCTAGTCCTCCTATAACACACGCTACCTGAGCATTACATTCACTACTCCTCCTATAACACACACTACCTAAGCATCTCGCTCACTAATCCTCCTATAACACACACTACCTAAACAATACACTCCCTACTCCTCCTATAACACACACTACCTGACATTACATTAACTAATCCTCCTATAACACACACTACCTAAACAATACACTCACTAGTCCTCCTATAACACACACTACCTGAGCATTATATTCACTACTCCTCCTATAACACACATTACCTGAGCAGCATGCTCACTAATCCTCCTATAACACACACTACCTGAGCATCTCGCTCACTAATCCTCCTATAACACACACTACCTGAGCATTACATTCACTACTCCTCCTATAACACACACTACCTGAGCATTACATTCACTACTCCTCCTATAACACACATTACCTGAGCACAGGGGTCAAGTCCTGGGGAAAAAAGTGTGGGAACTCACCCAAGATTCCCGCTTCCAACCCCCCCCCCCCCTTAAAAAAAATAAATTACACTCCTATGCATATAGTGCAGTGCAGGTTGTGTATAATGAATGTAGTGTGTTTGGAGTGAATGCAGAGTATGAATAATAAATGTAGTGTGTTTGTAGTGAGTGCTGTGTGAATAATAATTGTAGTGTATTTGTAGTGAATGCAGAGTGTGTATAATGAATGCAGTGTGTTTTTAGTGAGTGCAGAGTGTGTATAATGAATGTAGTGTATTTGTAGTGAGTGCAGTGTGTATAATAAATGTAGTGTGTTTGTAGTGAGTGCAGTGTGTATAGTGAATGTAGTGTGTTTGTAGTGAGTGCAGAGTGTGTATAATGAATGTAGTGTGTTTGTAGTGAGTGCAGAGTGTGTACAATGAATGCAGTGTATGTAGTGTGTTTGTAGTGAATGCAGAGTGTGTATAGTGAATGTAGTGTGTAATGAGTGCAGAATGTGTATAGTGAATGCAGAGGGTGTATAGTGAATGTAGTGTGTTTGTAGTGAGTGTATAGTGAATGTAGTGTGCTTGTAGTGAGTGAAGAGTGTGTATAATGAATGCAGTGTGTGCGTGTGCTGGATGATGTGTGTGCGTGCACTGGATGACGTGTGTGTGAGTGCTGGATGGTGTGTGTGTGTGCTGGATGGTGTGTGTGTGCTGGATGATGTGTGTGTGAGTGCTGGATGATGTGTGTGTGTGCTGGATGATGGGTGTATGTGTGTGTGCTGATGATGGGTGTGTGTGCTGGATGATGGGTGTATGTGTGTGCTGGATGATGGGTGTATGTGTGTGCTGGATGATGGGTGAGTGTGTGCTGGATGATGGGTGTGTGTGCTGGATGATGGGTGTGTGTGTGCTGGATGATGGGTGTGTGTGTGCTGGATGATGGGTGAGTGTGTGTGCTGGACGATGGGTGTGTGAGTGAGTGCTGGATGATGTGTGAGTGCTGGATGATGTGTGTGTGAGTGCTGGATGATGGGTGTGTGAGTGAGTGCTGGATGATGGGGGGGGAGGAAGCATTTTTTTCTTACTTTATGTGTTTATATTTGTTTATTTTATTCCCCCCTCCCTGCTTCTTACCTTGTCAGGGAGGGGGGAGATCGCCTGTTGGTCCGGTGGAGGGAACCAGCCGCTCGCTGCACAGAGGAGCCATCACACGCTGTGTTCCCTCTCCAGCTCTAACTCTCGCGAGACTCACCTGTGCGGAGCGTTGCCATGGTAACAGCCGCGGGTCTCGCGAGAGTTATAGCTGGAGAAGGAAGACAGCGTGTGCTGGCCCCTCTGTGCAGGTAGCAGGGCCGGTCTTGCAGGACAGGTAACGGGAACG